AGTTATCTATATAGTATATATATATTATGTATATTAAATATATATTAGAAACCTATAAAAAAGTGTTGCAACCGATGTGTCCACGACTGTACACCCACGGTCATTGATTCTGTCCCTCGGAAATTTTCACAAACTCTGAAGTGATCACTTTTCTACATTAATGCTTATAATCCATGCACGATTAACGAAACGAAATCGTGCATGGACTATAAACATTAATGTAGAAAAGTGATCACTTCAGAGTTTATAAAAATTTCCGAGGGACGGAATCAATGACCGTGGATGTACAATACTGTAGATACTGTTCTGTTATTATCCGTGCAGCTATGTATGGAAAAATCAGCCTCAGTAATAATGGAACGTTCTTAAAGCTCTACTAAATTACGTCATAGCGCCAGTACTTACAATGAATATCGGAACACACCCTATGTAATTTGCCGCGCGATCCTGGATTTCATACAAAAAAAGATTATTTTATCTCTAGAATGTCGAGTAACCTAATTGATCGTCGTGCAAGGAGTCGCGCAGCAAATGATGCAATAAAATGAGATATTTTGGTCGATTAATCGTGACGCGACGGACGACGCGGCGCGTGACGCGCTCAGTAGGAACGTACCATGGTGTAATAAAGATAGAAGTGTGCTCGTTAGGTAGACCAAATTTGGATTCGTTCTGCGCATATATGGCATTGGAACAAGTCGCCTTCCATATTGGAAAATAATACTGAGTAAACAAAAATGTAACTAATGCATAACTTTTCATTTATTTTTCGAAAAAATGGTAGCATGCAGTGTTAAAAACTGTAAGAATTTCAGTAAAAATGTGAAAGGAAAAAAAAAATTTTTTTTTTCAAAAAACAATAAATTGACGGCATTATGGATGAAAGCTTATGGCAAGGAGGTTAACCTCAAAAATGGTAGATACATAAATTAAATGTTATTTGTATTATACAAATTTATATTACAAAATATAAAAAAATTATTTAATATAAAAAAAATGTTTCTGCACACATTTGTTCGATGCACTTTCTCTCAATAAATTACAAAAAAGAACCTGAATATTATGGAGATTATTCGCCAACAACAGTCAGGAGTCTTTTGCCTGATGCTCTTTCTACAGAGAATTCATTCTCGTATTTTCAATATTGCGGAAAAAACACTGATTGGCTGATATATTAATATGGCCAGCTACTTGTTCCAGCATTTTCATTGGTTAATTTTCTTCATGCGCAAGAGCACACCTCTATCTTTATTACACTATGGCTGGAACCAAGATGGCGGATAGGAATA